GTGGGAAAAAAAATCAGCTTTCCATTTCTTATTCCCGATTGAGTATGGTCATGCAACTTTAACAGAGGTGGTTAACAATCCTGAATAGTAACTATTATAAATTCTTATTTTTTAAAACCATTAACAGCAGTGATTTTAATGACCCTAGGAGTTCAGTCAGGTTAACAGGTTTAGTTGTCAGTGCTGTTCACTGAATATTTCCGGCTGTCTACTTTCCAGGCACATGGTAGGACAGTACCTCCTCAGCCCCTCATGGTTGGGTGGGGCAATGTGACTAGTTCTAGCCAATGATCCAAGTGTGACTTTCAGACTAGAACACTTCACTGTGAAAACCTCCAGAACTCACTGTTTGCAGGCACAGACCCAGGGAACAGCACCAAGACTGGAAATCAACCTTTGTAAACAGCAGGAAAAGACCAAAGAAAGAGGCTGGCCACTCCAGTCTGGAGTTTAATATAGGAAATTACATAGGAGGTCTGTCTTGGGGGGCTGCAAGACAAAAATGGATCCCTGGGCCACTTACCAAAGAATTCTATGGTGTGTGTGTGTGTGTGCAGGGGGAGAAGTGGAGAGGGGGTTAGTTACAGATACTAGTGCGTGAATGCTACCAGGTACAGAAATTACATGCTCGACCAGGTCAGAACTACAACCTGTTCCAGGACCCAGCACATCGCAGGAGCAGGAGGCAGGTGAAGGGTGCTAATTTATGTCAGAATGAACATCAAATCATATCCAGACAGTCTCGAAGGGGGATTTGTGGAAAGCAATCTCCATTCTGGCCCGAGTCCAGGAAATGGGACAAACAGCGGTCACATAATGGAACAGTCTCTCCTCCACATTTATGTTCCCTGCTAGGGCACCCAGACATGCTTAGATCCCAGAGTGAGGACCGCATGCCACAGGATCTCCAGTCAACCAACAGTGAACACGTAGCAGGAGAGAGAAATAAACTTTAAGCCACTGAGGCTTAGAGGTTGTTCAATACAGCAGCCTTCTGAAGACTCTCCTGATTGACACATGATGTTTTTCAAAATACAAATTTTCATAATCAGTTCAGTCAAAGACTTCTTTATTTCAGGACTATCCGTCAATGTGACTAAGAAGGGGTTAGAAGTGAAATATTTCCCAAACTTACCGGTGGTCTGTGGGACAAAATGAAAGCATGCATGAATGTTAATACTATACCAACTCAGAAATACAATTTTGAGCAAGACTGTCTGATATCTGTCTCCAAGGAGTTAGGTCTCAGTGAGCTAGTCTTCATAATGTCTAGCACACAGCCAATCAGCAATGTGCCTTGACAATAGTATCACTTTTCCTCTTTGATCTCTGGGTGTTACTTAGATCTTGCACTGGTCCCAACTCACCTTGATGGCCTTTGTTAACAATCATACTACTCCCCAGACCAGGGGCTCCTCTCTCATAAGTACTATGACCACACTGCATTATGTTAAAATAATCGACAAACCTTATATTGAAGTAGATCATAGTATGATCCAGGTTCCCATGAAATAACTCCAGGTCTCATGAAGTCCCTCTGTCATTTGCCACTTACAGACTGTGTGTTGGGGAGATCTCTCCCTGCCATGGTCCACGAGGTCTCCATTGCACACCAGTTAAGATTAATGGGGTTAGTCACTTCCCTCTTCAAGCAAACAAGGCCAGAGGCATTTTCTAGTTCCCATCTAATCCTAAATTCCAGGCTTCTGTTACTTTCCCTGGTCACCAAAATATCCCTAGGTAAGCCTTGAAGTTTGCATCTGTATCTCCAAAGTAAATGAAGTCAAGCAATTACATACCAGGAGGAGGCTTTCTGTTTGAACCCCAAGACATTGGTCTCTGCATATGTAGCAGCAGGATTTGGTGAGGTGTTCAAATAATACCTTACCAGGAGAATCTTTCACTTATCCTTTCATTCAACTAACATTCATTAAGCTATTCCTATACTAGGCACTAGGAATACAGTTAGTGAAAAAAAAAGTAATAAAAGAAAGAGAGGATCCCTCTTCTCTAAGAGGTTGTCTTTTACCCAAGACACAGACATTACAATTAATCGCAACTGGGATGACTGTAGTGAAGGAAACCCACAAGTTTCTGTGAAGTTGTAGTAGAGAAAATGACAAAGGATAGTTGAAACCTGAATGGGAGTTACGTTGGCTAATGGGAGGAGGGTAGGCCAAGGAAGAGCAGGTGTGAAGTCGCTGAGTAGGGAAGAAGCATGACACATTCTTAGGGAAGACTGGCTGAACTGGAGTGTAGAGAAAGGGAAAAAGAGTGGTGGGAAAGGACGCTGGGTATGTATGCAGGAGCAGGTGGTGTGTGTGTGTGTGTGTGTGTGTGTGTGTGTGTAAAATACTATAGCTAAATGACCTGAGAATACATATCAAGAGAGTCAGTGTTAAAATTAGCACTCCTGATTTCTTTGCTACCCCATATTTGCCCACACCTCCCTGGACTTTGTTATTGGCCTTTTGACAAATAATGACCGCCCACTCTTACCTAGATAGAGTAGTTTATACTTTCATTTGGGTTCCTTTGAGTTTTACTGAAATGCAAGATTGCATTAATTAGATCTTAATCCTTTTTCATAATAGTTCCAGCTAAGAGCTAGATGCAGGCGCTTAAGAGTTCCCAACAATGACTGGGGCTGGTGGGCATACCTCTGGAACAGTGGCAAATGATAAGGTGGTTGATGGACACAGTAGGCTGCAGTTTTCTACACTCTTAGACATGACATGGAATAAAACAGCACTACTCATCCTGTTGAAACACATTCCAATTTCTTTCATATGCATAATATTTCAACTCAAAATGGTTTTCTTCCCAGATTACTTTTAATACAATCTTCGTGTTCTCTGTTTCTGTCTTCTTGATCTCTTAAAAACTGATGTGGTTTTTTTCTATTTTGGTTCCACTTTAACTATATTTTAAATCCACTTCTTCAGTCATTTTATGTTATATTCTGGAGGACAATCTTTTTGGAATTCATAACCCATCACTGTTGCGATCCACCATCTGTCTCAAAAAACATAGAACCCATTTACATGGTTATTTAGGCTTTGAGGTTTGTGCAATTTTATTATCTGTGATCAAGTCATTTGTATGATGAAAAACAGTTTGTCTTTGACAATTTTCTGATTCTTGTTGAAAATGAAGCTTGGATGTTGAATACTAAGGGTTTTTTCCTTCACCATATAAAGGAAATAAAATGCAAAAAAGGAACATATCTTTCTTTGATATTCCACTTCTACATTTTCTGAAAATATCAAGTGCATTTAA